AACATATGTACCCTAGAGGTATGTAATTGTTATGAATATGACATTGTTGAAAATATTTAACTTGTTGTTTAATAATTTCACGTGAATTGAGTAATGAGGAAACTTGCAACCAATTAGCTCATACTATTTGTTATACAATTCGTCAATTCCTAGGGGATTATAGTTGCCAATTATGTTCCAAATAATGTTTGCCCAGGTCTCACCACGTGGAGGTTACTGTGAATGAAGACCCACCAGCGTGTGACATACGTTTCGTATATTCTTTTGTTTTCACGTTTTCACTATCTCTTCAGCAGGTGGCGATTGATTGGTAGGTGAGGGTAGGTGTCTCCCCACTCCAGTATATATTTCAACGAAAGAGGATATTCACCATCGTATTGTGTATGTACTTCCGTCGTACTATATGCATTTGTGTAGTTTGGTTTTAAATATATTCATTTCCATTTTTTTCAATTGACGGATCGTTTCGTTTGTCAAACACAATTTGAGTGTGGAATTTGCGCGTTGAGTGGAAGTGGAATGAAAGAATGCTCCTGATTGTGGAAATTCACCGAAACGAAAGGGTGTGTTAGTTTAATAATAACTATCTTATTTGTAGTTCAGGTAAGGATGCACAAGAAACAAATTCATTTTCGATTTATTCTATATTTTTCCATTTATATCAGGAATCGCATACAATACTCAGATGACACGATTCGTGCACACACACTGTACACGATATTTCTATACGTTCACTATACATACGTCTTACATCCTTTATGGTACGTCACAACATAAAATTATACACTCAAAGTATGTACAGATCATCGGTTTCACTGGAGCCAATCGCATATCGCGATCAATAAATTTTGTCGTTAGCGTCCTTTGCGCGAATAAAACATATATTTTGTCCACTGTTCAATTTGGGATAGCCGTTATTCATTGTCGTTTTTTGTATTTTACCAGCAAAATGTTCAATCTTTCTCACTGTACATAAATCGGGTCCACCTAACTGTTCAACCCTCGGTCAGAATTTCAAGAAGAAGTCGCCTCAGACTGTCGAGACCCGTTAAGAAACCACAGTCCGGACCTTGATGTAGGGTGGAACTCGAATCACAAGCTACAGTTGAGCCGTGAACGAAAGTTGCATTCGCAAAATCGATCATTCTTACGTCGACGCGTGCATCTTGCGACTTCTGTTTCATTTTCGTTCGGTATGAACAAGGCGTGTACCTATGAATAAAATTGTTATTTTCACGTAACCAATATGACGAATGTAGACAAAAATATGTACATCAACGATTAAAAATTCCTAACAATAAAAAAAAAAATAATTTTAATAATAATGATAATCACAATAATAATCATAATATTAATAATAATAATGACATCTTGGAAAAAAGAAACAACAGATATCGTTACGACATACGTACATACACACATAAATGACAAATATACATATGTATACACGGACTTGATTTACCGACCTGTTCGATATACCGGCACATTCAACATTTTCCTCTATTCCCTCTTCGTTCTCGTAAAGACGAAGTAGTCGATGTTCGTGTCTTTGCCTTTTTGGTCCGCTATCTGATCTAACTTCCGTGTCGGAACTAGTGTCCTCTGCGATATCCGAACTTTGCTCGAAACAGAATTCGTCGTTAGAGCTGCCATATATCATCCACTGTTCATATCTCGGAGTTTGAAGCACTGTGTCGATCAAGCTGTCGCTAGATTCGTCGAAAACAGTCTCCTCGCTGCTATGATTGTGAGTTTACGACATAAAGGCCATCATTATTAACGTTCCGCTTTTAATTTACTTGCGATAACTGAATGGGATAATTAGAATGTAATAATAAAATGCACGGGGCGCGTAAAAAGTTCACGATATCTTTGCAACTTTAAAGCAAGTAAAACTATTCTTCCGTTTTTTCTGAATTAGTCCGCTTACTTTTTCATATTAGTTACTTGCAAAATAATACGAAATTAATTGAAAACTACAAAATCAGCCTTGACTCTGTACCGGGGCGTGTTACGTATTTATACATATACATATATAGCGTGTTACAAGACAATCCTAAGTAATGAAATGTTTGGAACGAACTCTTATTGCAATGAACAAAAATTTATAGACGCTCTATTTAACTGAAGAAAAATAAAAGGACACACGATGAAATTTTTACGCACCTTCATCATCGAGATGTCGCACATGGTACAATGCATGACCTCTTACCATCTACTAATAACCCTTTATGTAATTGCCCAGACCGTAGCGGGCATGCAGGCCCTGTAGGTCATATATTTTTGAATAAAAGAAAACGTTTAAATCTTTCTACACAGAATGCAAAGTAAACGGTGGATTTTTCGTATAATGTTTACAAATTTAAAATCACAACACTGTTACAAAAACAAAAAACATTCTTGAGAAAGTCTCGATGTGAACAAAACCGGTGCCATGCCGAAAAGCATATTGATGTGATAAGAATTCCATCTACATATTCCCGGAAATCAACGCATTATATGTCCTAAATTTTCCAAGGATATCGGATCGCGCAGCGCTGTACGTACTTAACAAAAATGAAAGAACACGAGAAAAACGATGCGTATTTTTCTTTTTGGAGCACGATGAAATCTTTTAAACGAAACAATATTATATTTTGATGATCTCTTTCTTTTACGAGAAATCCATCGCTTACCGAACATATTGCATTTTTTTTTTCGACGTAATACACGATTGATTTGTATTAACTGAAAGATTAAAAAAGAAATCGTCTAGAAATCATTTAGAAACGTCTCTAACCGTGTGTACACAAACACACATACACACACGTGTGTTGATGATAATGTGTACGTGTGTGTGTGTGTGTCCCTCTGTATGTAGGCGCATATTGTACGTACGCATGCATGTATGTATGTATCATATATGTAGTATTCATTTATTTCTGTCTCTGTGTGATGTGTAATACGTCTATATGTGTGGTATGTATACGGATGTGCGTTCATGCGTGTACAACACTGACTCGATGCATCGTATACTTATGTTAATGTAGTCAAATATGCATGAAGCAACGCAGCTTAAAAAATGTCCCATTTATCTCTTTCTTTCTGTTCTTAATTCATAAATATATTTGCACCTACAAACTTTTGTAGAGCTGTACTCTCTACGCATGACCAACAATATACCTACGAAAGGATTTTGTAATCCACCACTTTCAGCTCTGATCCTCCCCTAGTAAGAAACTGATCGGGCTCGATTAGGGACTGGTATTGCCGCGCTTTATTATAGTTCGGCCGTAATAAAGAGCAGTTTTCTAAAAAGTGACGGTACACAGAAATATACATGCTTAAATTAGGAAAATATCGCACTGTCAGTTCATTAGCGTACAAATTTGAACGTGAACTTACGGACACGAATTTAGCAACTTAAAAAATATATTTACAAATAATCATAGGTATGTATTTGAAATTTTCAAAGAATTGTATGTTTAAACAATGTCTCTGTTTACGGGACAAAAAAGAATCAAGTAGTTAGGCGTGTGAACAGCACAAAAAGCTGTTTCCAATTTCTTGATTCGAATTCAAATACGCGTATACATATGTATATGTAGGTACATATGTGCGTGTAACGATCATGTACGTACATCTTTCTTATGCTGTCGTGTGAGTGCGTTTGCAAAGTATAGCCCAAAAATAAGTACTTACTGGATTGTGAGATAACCCAGACTCTGAGCAAACAATCGAAATTTTGCGAGGAATGTTTCGTAAAATGTAACGACGTTGCAATTAATCGTTAATGTATATCGTACTAGTAAATTGCAAAATGCATATTCCTGTGGTTATTCGTAACAATAAACGTAAACAAATTTTCCATAAAAATCGAATAACAAAATTATATCATTCGATCGTTCATCGAAGTTATTCATTGCATGATAATTAAACTAGATGTATAATATTTAATACGCTAAAGTACTGAAGGTGCGATATTTCCTCTAAACCGAATTTTAACAAAATACGATTGAAACAAGCTGGTAATTGAACTAAAATCATTATACCAACTTATATTTTTGTCTTTTGTAATAAACCCTCCAATGTTCTGATAGGATTTGTGGCTGCGTATAACGATAACCATGGACAACTATTCGTTACGTCATCGTTGCGTTAAATTTTATCAACCTCGACGGGATGAGTTTTCAGTCTATATTAAAGTATTTATCTTTTTCTACGTCTTTTGCATGAACAACAAATTTACGTTTAAATTCGGATAAAACTGCAGAAAAATATATTTTCAACGAATGAAATCCACGCGTATTCTTTAAATATGTACATAACTTTACCAGTCAGTGCACGTTCTCATTTCCATTCAAAATATCGGAGGGTTACAAATATCGACGTAAAGTCTCGTAGAATTTATAGCGACAACGTTGATAAAACTACGTATAAACGTACGTGATTACAATTTTTGAATAAGAGGAGACACGATAATTACATTCCTAGTGTTGTAACGCATAGGGGTAATGCACGTACAAATCAATGAATGAGAGAGCGAACGAATGAGAGAACGAAACAACGAAAAATTAAGTAAATTCGTAAAAGCGCGTGAGCGATTCATGACTTTCTTCGGGTAGGTATTAATTTACGCGAGGAATATGTTCGTTTATAGCATCACAACGATAGGAATTTAATTCGCATCGTTCTGTACCGAGTCGTAGTGACAATTATTTTTTCGATTGTTTATAAAATCACAATGACAGTGAATTCAAAACAGAAGACGCGTAAATAATCAAACCAAAACTCAACGATATCTTATTTCCCTTACAAAACAATGGATAAACGTCTCGTGTCACAAAATGCCGGTTGAGCATCGGAAAAGATTCTCATACCTTTTACAGAAACGACCCGTAAGAAGACTTACACTCCTGTATTATGTTTGTTTCAACAACAAGTGTAACAAAAAAACTGTACATTTGCGAAAACTCGGAGATTTGCGACGAATCGGAACATTAAATAAATAAATAAATAAATAAATAAATAACTGATTACAAACCTTGTGGGATAGAAACTTCCGGTATTTTTGGCCCCTCTCGCGGCTGCTTCGCCGAATCCTTTATGTAAAGTTGCTTGACTAATTTCCTCCTGAATTGAAAGATTGTAGTCTGTAGAATTGTTACTTGTATCAGCGTCGTAGCATGCTTCTGAACTAGAAGCAACATCGTCGACGAAACTAGAATTGGTTGATTCTTCTTCTGTTTGTAGAGCGGATGGTGAATGTTTTAGACCCGAAAAATCGTTTATTTGATATCCTTCGTATACAACTAGTAACGAACTGGAAATCGTTTGAAATGATTAATAGTGGCATTCTTTTATCGTCGGAAATTCACCGATGGAATATTTAAAATATTCAAAATATTTTCTTTTTTAGATGTGCTCCGTGTCGAATCATTCCGTAACACGATCGGAAAACACTTTTTATCTTTCAATTATTCCAATGGGTTTGATTCAAACGCACTCACCACGAGTAAAATCGGTAGCTGCTTTGTCTTTCGATTGCGCGTCGTAACTGTTCTAACCGGGACACGACTTTTTCGATCACCAACGTTCGTAAACGAAAACCGTCGTGAAAAAAACGATACAACGCTGCCTTAAAACCTTCTTCGTTCAGTTCCCGACCCCAATATTTATCTCTTTTGATGTAATGATTGGTGTCAGTTTGATAGACCTATAGAAGTGGTTGCTCTATTATTAAAAGTATTATTCCGGTTCTTAATACCGTTAACTTAATCCTGTATTTTATCAATTAAATTCATTTCATCGCACGTATTAAAAATTGTCGCGTTAACAAACCTGCATTCCACATAATCGAACACCTAACGATGCTGATGTACTGGCAGCACATTTCGCAATTTGTTTACTGCGTTTCTCAGCAGACGCATCGTCACCGTAATGTCTGGTCCCCATCTTCAGATCCAGAATACACGGATGTGTGTATTGTGACGTTATATTCTCCAATAAGAGGAAATCTATTTTTATGGTAAAACGATGTAATTCTTTGTAACGAAACACGAAACGCGTAAACTTTCTCGCTTCTTCGGTAATTTTTATCGATTTCATTCAAATCTTTCTATTATTATTATCCATCTAAACCTATCTATTATTAGTTGTAGTGGAATATAATGCATACACTGTCTATTCTGCGTATTATCCAAATGCACTCCTGGTTTTGGTATTCCTGTCAACGTGTTATCACGATGAATTTTCATTCTAAAAGAATCGAATGATTGTCAAGTACCCCTATTACGGTATAAAAAATCTTTTGGCTGCTATTTAGATTAAAAAATATTCTCTTCCGAAATAATTGAATGTATCTTTGAATAGTATACCTGAGGACATCGTCTCTCTTTCTTTTGGTCGAATTATGACCTTGTCTGGCATCTTGTTCTCTAAAGCTAGGACTATATCGCTTCTCCAATGTAACTTCGCCGCTATTGGAAGCTTGCATGATACCTCAAAAATTTAAAAGAAAGACAACTATCATCGATAGAAAGAATCTATACTACTGTATGAATGCGTTAAACGCAAGAGAATCATTGGGTCTGTTGTATAAAGTGTTTGGAACTTTGTGGATCAAGGAAAACATATATTTTACATAACAAAACCAAGAAAGATATTGAAGAAAGACGAGAAACAACGTAAAAGAGCCTTACCTTTAAATTTTGGGACAAAGATTTGTATATCTTGCGGAATGTTTTGATAAAAATCAAGTTCCCTGCAATTTAAGGGCTTGCAAATAGTATTCTGATTGAGTAAAAGTAATCTTGTGTGTCCGCCGACCTATAAGAAATATAGAATTTATGAAATTAATACATAGACTACGAAACAATATGTCACTTGCTAACGTGTTTCCTATGTAACCGATGATAAACTTAAAAAAGATGGTTTGCAGCTACAAATAGTTTGAAACATTAAGACGTGATAATACTACATGCCAAAATAAAACGAAAATCAAGAATAACGAAATTGCATTAAAAGCTTCGTTTACGAGTTATTAATTGCCGAAAGTATGGGTAAAACATTATATACTGAAAAGGCGCGCGAGTCAACTGATTCACAGGCATGTACTAATAAATGAGCTGATTAATTCACATATCTATATAAATCACATGTACATACCTGCTGCTTGCTACACACACTCACACACCACGCACGCGCGCGCGCACACACACACACACGCACGCCACGCAAAGATATATACGTACACGCGCGCATACATACATACACACACCGTCCTCATAGCACATGTTCTAATAATTATTATAAGAACAGGACGTATTTTTCGATCAATTTCATTTTGGTACCATATGAAGCAGCACAAACATATGCAAATAAACGTATTCATACATGTGTATGTATACAAACGCAAAAACAACACACCGATGTAAAAGACTGAATGTACTTGTGATTCGTAATTAAATCGAATCAAGTTTTTAAAAGCCTCAAACACAGCAAAACCAACGCTAAATAATATATATAGGCGTACATAAAAGGTAGAGAGAAAAGTTTGAAGCCACAATATTGATGAAACAATGGCGTGTAAAAGTACGACGGTACTGTCTCTTACCTGATTCTTGAGAGGCAACAACGCGACTTCTTCGTCATTCTCCTGCAGAAAGGAGGAAGAACTGTTTGTACTGTGGCACTGTGATTTAGTATCTCCCATGCCCCAGACGCTCGACAGATATACCATAACCGCTTATTATAGTCCAATATACGAGATTTCAAGCAACACGAATCGTTCACAAGATTTGTACTTCTATATTTCTCGACACGTTTCGTACCCATCTAACATTGACGAACAACTTCACTATTACATATGTAGTGTCTGAACGTTTAATCGTGCGAAAAGTAACGTAATTTTTATTGGTGTATGTGAAACAGATCTTGGAATATTCAAAGTGTACAATTAATCAATTTTTCATAATCAACAATGCACAGTATAGCACTTTATGATATCAGATCAAATCAGCTGTATATTCCAGTCCAGTCTATTCAGATATCAGATCAGCTACCTACGGTCATGCAAATTATTTCATCCGATGGGCATATGCGTTGAAGTTAGGGAAACTCGAAGAGAATAGCGACATCTGGCATTCGAGTGCGTAACGAATAAAAGTATACCATTGGGGGAACGTGAAAGCACCGAGCAAATTCGACTTCCTCTAGGGGAAAAAGCAATGTAGGGGTTAAGACCTCCTACCGCTCGATTTCAATATTTGAAATAAATATTAAACCGAATGTTCATTTCGCATAAATTTCAGTAACTCCGAGACCCAAGTGGTAGAAGGCCTTTCTCTTCCGCTAGGGGAAAAAGTAGCGTAGAAGAAAAGTTTCCTATCACTAAGTAAATTTATTTCAATACTTTCAATCCGAATGTTAGTATGGCATAAATTTCAGTAACTCCCAAAACTAAATGGCAGGAAGCCCTTCGCCTACCTCACTTTTTCCCCTAGGGTAAGCCGAGTTTTCTCGTCGGTGAACAACTATATCTATGTATATATATATATATATATATATATATATATATAAATGGTTGTTAAAAAATATATATTTTCAGTGGTACAATGTTCGATGCACAACTATACTTCAAATTATTTACAAACTATTCATTTGTTAGACTTGGAATGATTGCTACATACATGCGCGCAAGACAATATAACAAAGTAAATCCATTAGAGTTTGGTTTGGTATCGCTTTTTTGTCTACATACTCACGAATTGTTTTGTATAGCAAACGCTTCTGTGAGGTTTCCTACCTAGAAGTATTCTCTCGTCAATGGAAGGAGGTACTCTGATCCTTCGTGGCAGAGGATGTTTTTATTCTTGAATATTCGTATTAATATCATCTGTTTCTTGAATCGAAAATCGTTTCATTGTTCCGTGTGATTGACACATTAAATGTGATTGTCAATCATGGATATACGCGGTATAGAAGTTACAAATCAATTACGTGTAAGTAATAGATCTGCACTATTATTTGGGCATCTTAAATTTTTCTAGCTACCTCATCGACTCTATCAATTTCTACTTAGAAATTTCGCGGGATTGTTAACGATTCGTCGTTTTAATGATCTGATTACCGTTGTTTGATCAATATTGAGCTATTTCTGTAGCGTTATTCTAAACAGTTTTAATTTGGAGTAAGTCAACAACGATCTCCTTAACCCTTTCGCCCCCACTGTCGGATATATCCGTCATCCGGAAAAAAGTCCATAGATACCACTGTCGGATATGTCCGTCATCCGAAAAATGATCCGCAAGCACTATATACACACGCGTATGTATACGTATACATATGCGTATATGTATTTCGGACAGTGTGTATTATACATGGTCATGTTTTCTTCAAATTTATCACACAGAGCTTCCTTATTAATTCAATGGTGATCTTTTTAGTTATGATTTATTATTGACAAGATTGTTTTTATGTAAAGTTCACATTTTGTTATTTCTATACTGGAATTCTATATCTTTAAATAATTTTTACACAAATGATAAATCATGATAGCAAAATAAATTCTGTAGTAATTTTTATTAGTGCTTCTCATTAGCGCCGCATTCGTGGCTCGCTGGTCCGTACAGCATCAGCGTATGTACTGGTGGAACATCCATCGGTAACGAAAGGGTTAATATATCGCACGAGTAGTCTTGCGATAAGTTTATCTACATGTTTACGCGATTTCGTGACGAATCAATCTTACAATTAAAAAAATTGCAATACGAAGCAGATGACGAAATTATTAGAATAGTCGATTTTCTGTCGAAGAATAAACTTTGTAATTACGTAGCAGGGTTTTAGGATACTCCATTAATTGGCTCAGGATTGTAAACACTGCATTAAAAATACTTGGTCTTACTTTCTTTCAGAGCGCTATTCGTGCTAAGCTGCTAGAGTTAGGAGTCCGATACGACGAAGAATTACCTGATTATATTTTAGTAATGGTTGTAAACAAAAAGTCACGCCAACAAATGCACGATGATCTATACCTGTTTTTGGAGAATTGTACCACACCATTTGTGGACTGGCTGCATGATCAAGTGTTAAAAAAATTACAGAAGGTCACGGTAGCAAAAAAGAAGTCGTTAAGAGAATTTGTGCCTACAGTTGTGGTCAAGCAGGAAGAAGAAAGGAAAAAGAGAAAAACGTCTACAACCTCTTTTTTAGAAGATCAGGCTGCTAATCAAACTCCGGAAAAGTCTTCTAATAAAAATACAAAGGAAGAAAAGTCATGTAACAAGCAGAGCACAAAAACATCTGTGCCTAGTCAAAAATTGGATACGAATCAGACCAAAAGTACAGAGAAATCTCTAAAGAGTACAACAAGCCGTGAAGCTATGTTGGATACTGGATCAAATTATAATGTCTCTCAACTGCCCGCGTCGAGGAAATCGCAATCGTGTGATGGTGAAACTGGGATCGCGAATAAAGAAGCAGCTTCTTTCGAAACTCCCACCGGTAGATCTGTGGATTCTCGAGTCAGTTCAAAGGCAGATGACACATTATCCAAAATTAATTTAAAGAGGCCTCTGGATACGGCGAGTAACTTTCGCGACAATTCAGAAAAGAAACAGACCGAAGCAAAGCGTTCAAGGATCGAAGAGAATGAAAACAGCACGACGGAAGACAATGCAAGGAAATTAAAATCTTGTATTAACAAGCCAAAAGTTACTTCTGTTGTCTCTGTTAAAAATCGTCTTGGTATAGCGTCCCCTAGAAAGAAATTTGAAATACATAGGGAGAAGACAGATAACGAAGGTCGGTACAGGCAGAATGAAAAGCGCATGGAAAAGCATAGATTCGATGGCAACCGTAATAACAATTTTCAGAGGGGAAGAAACTTTGAGGTAGATGAACGCGTAAAAAGGAATCGAGAAGTCGAATCGCAACACAATGATTCGGACAAAACTGGCGACATAAAGACTCGATTAGGCAACTCGAAGATCGAGAGAATACCTAAAAACGTAGAATTAAGAGAAAAAGTAAATTCCATCGTGAAATCGAAACCGACGGAGAAAACGATGGGTACGGTTAAAGATCGTTTAGGGATTGCGAGTACCAATAAGTTGCAGAAACAGTTAGGAGGTAAAGAACCAGTGGAATTCAAGAACAAACCTTTAGAGCAAGATCGCGATACATTGAGTAGCAATAAAAATATAAAAAATAGATTGGGACCGCTAAAAAATAATTTCAGACCAGTAAGCATTAAAAGTGGTGGTTTCAATTCAACAAATAGGCGTTCCCAGAGTAGCGAAGAAGATGATTACCTGAATCTGGGCGCGGAAGAAGAGTTGGACGATGACGTGCAATCTACTGGAAATTCTGGTCCTATCAAATCTCATATAATAGCCGTGAATAAGGTTATTATATCGGGAAAAACTGAAAGGAAACGAGTAAAATCATTGGAGAGAACGAGCAAAGAATCGAGTGACACGGAAGACGTTGGAGATACAAAGATACCCAGCAAAGTAATTGTGACACCAAGACCATTGAAACCGTTACAACCTGTACAGAAACGCGCAACACAGTCCCTCCTGTTACGAGCTGTTGCAGAGGCCAACCAATCTGTCGTTACACAAAAGAATCCAGAACCATCTTTATTGGTGCGTATAAAATGTATGCCATAATTTGTATCTCGGATGGGTATCGTCGTTTTTCTAACTAATTGTGCTTTCAGGAAAAGAAACAAACCTTGAAGCGTCTCAAGCCTGCTGCCGTACGAGATGTGGGACAAAATTTATCGGTACATCTTAACTCGAATAAGAGATTAGTTATGGAGAAAATTCAAGTCGAGTTAAATACAGATGTATCCGAAACAAAATCGAAGCCTTGTAAGTGTGTTTGTGTATAGGCGGAGAGAAACGCGTGTAATACCTAAAATTCTTTCGTTAATATATTCAGTATCACGTACGGTCTTAGATGTACAACAATCGGTTACCGAGGAACATATGGGAGTGGTAATGTCGCTGTTTCAAAGGAGCGACGATAACCAGAAATTTTTAGTCACTTTAAACGGATACAATAATAATCTTACGAAAGAGAAAACTTCGTCCGACGATGACGAACGTTTGGAAATGGAGGTAGTTGCATAATAAGCTACAGTTTGTTAATTGTACAATTGTTGATTCTCTTTATTCGTCTTAACGCAATTTTCCTGAATCGTATTTGAAGGTAAATGAAGACGATGAACTTGTGCTTTTAACAACACAGAATGATGTATATGCACAGAATGAGTCAGAAACGTCTGTTTTTCAAGTAACCGAAATGGATGGTGAGTGCGATCCGAATGGGAAAGAAAGAGTGGAAGAAAATAACGAAAATTGTAATACCGAGAATGTTGAGAAGACTGACGAGGTACCTAGGAAAAGAAGAAAATTAAGTCCAATAGTGTATAACAGATCTCATTCACCGAGTCCTGGAGATTTGAAGTCGAGTACGTTATCGAGTAACCAATCGTTGTTAGCCAAACGTAAGTGATATGATACAAAAGTAGTGGTGGTTGCTGCGGAATAAATGTTTCCATGTGTTCGGCTACTTTGCTGTTCCAGGTTTAGAGAAAAAACCCTTAACAGAAAGCGCAGTAACAGTAATAGACAAGTCGAAGGAAAAGTGTAGATACTGGCCGAATTGTACGTTAGGCAACAAGTGCGCGTATCTTCATCCACTTGTAATGTGCAGGTTCGCACTCCGTTTAACTTGACATTTAATGTGTTATCATCGTCTCATTACGATTCTTTAGCCAGCTATTTGTTTTCTACTGCAGTGCGTTCCCAGCTTGTAAGTTTGGAGACAAGTGCGCTTACAAACATCCTAAATGCAAATTCGGATTGTCGTGCACAAAACTAGGATGCGTGTTCTCTCACCCCGTTCAACAGTGCAAGTACCATCCGTTCTGCACCAAACCAACTTGTCCGTACTCGCATCCGACGCCGGCGGCCGTCGAAACATCCAGTCAAAGAGCGAAATTCACGTGGCGCAGACGAGATTGAGGCTGAACATTGTACAGATGTACAAAATTCCTTCAACTGGCTCTAGCCGAATAGGCGAACTGCTCGTTTGAGCAGGGATACCGTCACACGGTTCAAAATCGGATACGGATGTGGCGTTTGCGTTTTCTAAAGAAACTGAGTCGCATCGGGTAGAACGATAACTGCCGTCGCCAATCGCATTCCGTTGGGTGTATAGTAGAAGATTTTCATTGATGAATCTTACAGACGTACGAGTTACTGCGCGTTCTGTAGTATGCCGTTTCAGAGTAATTAAGAACGAGCCAGAGAATCGACGCAGGGTAATAATAATTTTTTCTTGTCCTCTAGTTACTAAAAAAAAAGAAAAAAGAACAAAAAACAAAAGAAAAACTGCGATAGTATTCCTGCTCACACGCATTGTACAGACCAACCGGAAATCTCGATATTCGCGTACTCTCTTAATCTGTATTATACATATTTACGTATCGGTATACATGATGAACGCTCGTGTAATATTGACGGACGTTTTTGCATGTATTGAGAAACGATCAATATTTGCTGGATCTTTTACGTCTCGCGAGTCCAGTTGATCAGATGGATTCTGAATTCTGTTTGTTTCATTCGGTATTGGTGTTTCACGGTGTAATGTCGACAACGTTAATACACCTTTTCGAGGGTAATACACGTTGATTGACGCGAACGTTAACACGCTTTCGGTTTAATAGTCGTTGCCCCTTTGGCGAAAAGCAGATATGTATTTTTTTTTTTTTTCCGTTGTAGCAGACACGTTTTTGCATAATAAGAGAAAACTTTACTTTGCATATTCTAAATTACTACGAGCTCTGTCTGTTACTCGATCATTGTGCATAATCGTCGTAGTGATCGTAATCATTTTCCACAGAAAGGATCGTTCGAAGCGTCCACTGAAGAAACAACGTAACGTCACACTGCTCACATTTATGTAATGTATAATTTCTGTCGACCGTATCATCTTCAAAATCAAACTGTCGTACGTTCACTTTGTTAGATACTCTGCGTATGTATGTATAAATTTCTTGTATACGTAAAAAAACGCATAAACACGTACTTAGTTGTATCCAGAAATTTTACGAAATTCATTATATCTCGCATTGTTCAAGCTTAACACAACACAGTTTCCGCCTATGCGAACAATATTTTTTTTTATTCTTATCGATAGCGAACAATCTGTCAGAACTGTAAACCGCAAAATTGATGTTCTTTCTTTGATTGTAAACTCGTCGATCGTATTCGAAACAACTGCGCGATCCCACGTATCGGATCCTCGAAGTCGGAGGTATCTTTAGTTGTAACGCGTAACAACTTCGTAGCTTCGAACGTTTACAACACTTACAACAGTATGTATTTAGTTTTCCATAAAAACACTGTAAAAACAAGTTACGAAACCGCAATACGGTTTCTTCACGACACGCACGCACACGCAGTCAGAGATATGTTCGTATCATTGCATCGTAATACACGCGTCTACACTCAATTAACTGCGTCACGATCATGATAAATTTATAACGTCGACGCGTATGTATTTATAATAGATGGTGGATCGCCGCTGCTCTGTACCGAACGCGCCGACAACCCTTGTCTCTTTACCTGAGCAACAATAACTGACCTACATTATTGTATGTCTGTCAGAGATGTGCGTTGCATCATCGGGTCGTCGGGCGGCGGGTAATTCTCGTGAACCGAGTAAATAGAAAAACACAACATATAATGTCTTTGTTCGCTTTGATTCCTTCGTGTGCGTTTGTTTCTCGGCTAGGAGCCATCGGGTATTATTTTGGAAATAACTAGGAGCAAGGAAACTGGTATCTCGGTACCTACTACATATTAGGTCATTAGGTCTTTCGATCGCTGTTTTCAATTTTCACGCGGTAGCTGTCATCCCCTCATCTACAGATTACGGTATTATTTTTCTATGACGATGACGTCACAGAATTCATGAGCTTCTAAACTGAAAATAATGCTTGTACAAACACAGCGTGACTCACCGAGAGGTTCCCGAAACTATACAGGTCTCTCTCTCTCTCTCTCTCTCTCTCTCTCTCTCTCTCTCTCTCTCTCTCGCTCTCTCTCTCTCGTCGTCTGTGTAAAGTGTAAAGAATACCGAATGAAACGAAAGGAAAGGAAAACACACGCCGGAGAAGTGAAACTTTTCTCGGGTCTATTTCTTTTTCTCTAGTCTTTAAGCCCGTAGAAGGTTTAAGTCGTCTAGGTTATACCTACTTATAATTTCTGCTCGCGTTTTAACTGCATATTTATGTAACTCTTTAGTTAATTAAAATTCACTATTGTTTCTGATTTTTTTGTTTCTTCTTTCGTTCCTTGTCCGTCATCCAAAACCGATTTCGTGAACATAACGTAGTGTGGTAGGAGTATTTAAATTTAAATGTTCAACAAGAACGAAACCGTCTTCTCGTGACGAGAGATACACGGTAAACGGTTAACGGTGGTGTTCCGTAAGGAAATTTCAGAAAATCCCCCGTCGTTGTGGACGTATCCTCCAGGCTTATCTTATCTCACGAATTGACACGGTGCCTCTCTCGCCAGAGCTGTCCGTTGTTCCGACCACAGTTTTCTTCTAGGTCTCGCGTGACTAACTCGACGAAATCACGTGAGAAATTGGCCCACGGTTCTCTCGATTTTATCGAGAAACCGAACAGAAAAGCGTACGTACGCGTTTCTCGTCGCTTCGCGGCCAAAACCAGAGGAAATTTCGATCGTGGTTTCTCCGGTTTGTTGTAGGTTCTTTCGACGAGAGATAGCTTTTTCTGGGAAGTGCGTATACGACTATATACGCGAACGATTTTCGTTTCGTTTGTGTTTCATTCGACGCCAGTTTCACGAGGAGGGTAAGTATTTCTTCGCGAGGAGAACCGTTCAAAATCATGATCCCCCCGCCGCCCGTTCAGTCCTCCACCGTCGAGGTCTGAATTTGCGACATTTCGAAATAGGATCTCGTATAGATTTAGATCTCCGTGAACGCTGCTGCCCAGTGCGCCTGTTCGCGAGTTGCAAACGTACAAAGAGCCGGGGAATATTTCCGAGGAGTGGGCTTTGCCAAGTCACGATGGTGCGCTTTTCTGCCCAAAGGTCCTTTCTGAAAACGAAAAAGAGGCGGGGCTAGAGGGGAAAGGGAGAGGAAGAGAGCTGTGATCACCCTCCTCTCGAGGGGTGGTTATCGCAGGTCGTATAAAGCGGGTGCACAGATTATCCTGATCATTAAGCTCTTCGACCTGGATCTGTTGTCGTCCTCGAGGAAGGCAAGGAGTATACATATACATATACCATAGCTCCAGCTTAATGGGTGTTCACGAGACCGAAGAGAAGGAGACACTGGAATGCACCATGGGCATCGACATCGAACACACGAACGAGGTTTCTATTCTATGTTTCTCTTCGATATTTCTCTCCTTAATCAGTTTTTGCTCGTCGAGTGTATCGAGCGCAAGCCAGAGAATCTTCGATGAAACCGTTAAGTAAATTGCTCTGGTTCTTTTTCTAGGGTACTTACATACTAAAGACTGCAAATTTCTAGTTATTGTTCGAGAAACACGTGACTGAACCGTTTGTTCGCCTGATGATCAGCGAATTCTCTGTATCGATTGGATTACAGAGACATCGTAATGGTACCGCGGACATCCCGGAGTACCGTGAACCAATCGGTATGGATATCGAGTACAGAGATTTCCCGGAGGAGCAAATCTGGAGCCCGAACGATGAGGTGAACGAATGGGTACCGCATTACGTGTTTATGGCTCGTTCGGTGTTGACGTTCGTTCAAGAGAGCCTGGGTATTTCGAACCGGGAAGCGATGGAAAATTCCTGCACTGGTTACGCGGAACAATATATCACCGATGTTCTTCATGACTCCGAATATTTACCGGAAGTCGCTCTGAAGACGTTCCTAACAAAAGAGTTGCCGCAGAAGTTGGTCACCAGGTGGTCCAGCACCGATGTCGTAAGTGTAGTAACGCGTAGGGCGTAGATCAATCATTGCGTGGGACAGGTTTCGCTGATACATAGATCCTTCCGGGGATCTATACACATGTATAAATGAATGCTACCCTGATATCCAGTTGTGTACAAGTTTCGAGGAAATTGTCAGCAATAAATGATAAATGTTGTCTAACAAAACCATAGCGATCTGTTTCGGCATTTGACTCTGGTTATGCAGGCAACGCCAACTGGCAAAATGGTAGAGAAAATTGGCAGACATTCTTGCAATATGCCCTATGCCTTGCATCAAACTTGTAGCTATAACTTTATAACAGGCATTGGAGAAAATTTAGTTTTGCATGTTTGGCTGACTGGGTAATCGCGGGAAATTATCGTTCACAATTATTTTCGTTAAAGTTACTTCGTTTTTCATAACAATTCTTCGTAACATATACCCGTAGAGCAAGCAACCCAGTCAGGCAAACCAGCAAAATGAAATTTTCTCCAATACCTGTTATAAAGTTACGACTACAAGTTTGATGCAAGATTTTCTGTAAACAACTTGCGCGCACGTTGGCAGCAACATAGGCAGCAAATTGGCTTGCGCAAACCTTGTTCCGGTTTTGCCCACAATTTGACATAGGTCATGTTGCAAGACAATCTGCTAATTTGCTTTCCCATTTTGTCAGCTGGCGTTCCCTGCAAAACCCGAGTCAAATTGCGGAAGCAGATGGCTATGGTTTTTTTCGACAACTTTTGACATTTAGTGCTGGCCTATTTGCTCGAAACTTGTACACAACTTAAGCATCCAATTTCCGTAGACAAAAAACCGTAACCGTGGATGTATTGATTTTTTGGACCGTGAAGTTGTACAACCATCTAGGTAGCGATGAATAGGAGGAACTAAATATGGTCCCCTGTAATTACGCAGCCTGATACATATGTACATACGTACGTACGCATACTCTTGTGCGCAGAGTATGTAAAACATTTTGACATCAGAGATTCTCCCTAGTTTCAATTGTTCCCCGCTAGGTGATTATTTAGATTTAGACCGCGGAAGTTTATGCAAATTCACAGTTTCACACATGAATATCTGATAACTAAAATAGGATGGAATCACCTAATTCTGTACCAGAGGCTTCACCATGTTGGTAGTAACGTATAAATAGTATTAAATTTTCTTAATATCTGTACTTTATTGCGTCCTCCAAGTTAAGGGACACGTAGTTTAGGTGATTACACATCGTTTTACACGTGCTGTGCCTGTTGATCGCGACGGAAAGATGCGTTCGCGAATTTCATCGATTCTAACTTCCAGGAGCTGTTCCTCGAGGGAATCGCTAGGCACGGAAAGAATTTCGCAAACATACAGAGGGAGTTCCTACCTCGTAAAGACACGGTACGTACGTGTTTCCGGAACTTCGTATATCTCTGCTGTTTAGCGTTTCCGTCTTTCTTCGTCTCCTTTCATCCACTGTCCCCTGTGATAAAATCATCCTTTCGTTTCGAACAATTTTACAGAAGGAAATCGTGGACTTTTACTACGCGTGGAAATGGACCGAGCCAGCGAAGGAGCTTCGAAATTGCCGTAGTCGGCGTCGCGTCAAACGGAAACGTCGATTTCCATCGATCGCCTGTATTTTCGGGGAACTAAAATCACCGAAAATGATCACACGCAGCGTGACCAATGCGTCCAGGATCGCTTCTTCGGTCGAGGAGAACAACGATCAAGATCGATTTCTACGCGTCGCGAGCTCTACCAGAGGCTCGCGGCTGATCGACAAAAGGAAACGTTGTGACCGTACGGCGATTCGATGACCGAAGAGCAAACGAAACGTCGGAACCGTACTCGTAACTGACGTCCTAAAACCTATCCGTAAAGATAGAGAGTATCTTTGAGACTGTTTGTTTTAATCTGTTCAGGTGACGACGAAGTATTGTCAGATGGTAATTTTAAGGCACGTTTGTAAATATAATTTTAACTGATATTATGGTCAGACTTTCTTATTCTACGCTTCGAAATAAGAGGAACGCTCTGGAGCCGCGTTTCCTACGGCCAAGGTGTTACGTTTACGACTTACTTGTTAGCCTAATTCGCCCTCGAATCCTTAAGTTCGTACGTACGTATAGTGTGAATCGACCGTTACGATTCCTCGAAAGTGCAATACAACGCGAACGTGCCTTATTTTTAAAAACTGTGCCTCTGTGCCGTGTCGTTGTATTTCCCTTTGATGTTCGAATGATCGAGCAACGTGGTCGTGCGGCTCGACGATTAGGTGCGGATAGCGGGGTAGGGAGTCAGATTTGACTTTTAAATGTCTCAATTTATTCCATTGGGTCGGCCGTTAAATAAAATTCTCGTATTAGATGCTAGCACACTGTAAGCACGTAACGGCGAGACTCTCTCTGGTGTCTGTACACGTACAAAAGGTGTTCCGATGCGAGCGAAATGTCGAGTCGGCGGTGTAAACTTTTCAGGTTTATGCCACTTGGCGTGCGCTTCGAAATACATATATGTATTTTCGGTATAGCCAGATCGCGTTCTCTATGGCACATAACAACGTTTCACGCGATTCGCTCCGAAGGTCCTATGTAATTGTCCGCGCGAACAACAGTATCAACGTTTGGGTAGTTTTCGCGCTTATCACAATACGTAACCGGACAGTATACATATATGTATGTATATTTCAGTGTCTCTCTTAAGAAAAATTGTAATCGATCGCGAGAATGCGAGTCAATCAATAGAAATGAACAAAAATAAAGAATCTTAAGAGCATTCGATTGCAAGTACAACACTCTCCGGTTAACGATCGTAGATCTTTCGAAAATCCAGCGCACATATGTACCTATACACATTTGCACGTTACACGCGTTCCATAATTTGTTCCGCGCGCTTTTGTCGCACTGCTTATACTCTGGGAGTCACTTTGCGCGCCAAATTGACACATTGTTCCCGCATTTTGCTTCTCCATTCACTCGTCGCGAAAACATAAACGCAAATAACGTACTACCATCTCTCGGTCGATTCGATCGATCGTTTACAGTGGGCTAGTCTAAAAAAAAATCAAATGCGTTACATAACATTGACTAATAATTTTCTTTGAGATTCGACGAATAGAGTTCGTCATCGATTTGCACGTAAATTTCTGCTCTTTGTCACCTTTTATAATGGCGAGTAACATAAATCAGTTATCGGGAATAATAGTGCAGGGAATAAAAGATGCCTGTGCATGTGTGTAGCAAGAGTAAATTTTAGGTGACTGAAACTGGAGAATGTTTCGGCCTGATCTGATTGAGATATTCAGGTGTGAATGAAGAGGCTGCGTGTTCACGTTTATGCGTTCGAGTGCTTGAGGACGAAAAGATGGATTTTACGAGTGTGTGACGAAATTTTTTTCTAGAAGTGAAAGAACAGTATTTAGGTAAGAATGAAAGGGAAAGGAATGCATGTGAGTGTGTATATGTGTGGAAGGGGGCCGGGTGTGTGTGTGTGTGTGTACCGAAAAATCGCGAGGAAAAAGTAGGGAAAAGAGATTAGAGAGTGTAAAAATGTTCGTAGATTCTCCTACTGGTAAAGGGCAATCAACGGCTGCGTAACGATCACCGACACTGTTTAGCAAATTGAGTCGCGTCGTCGATTCGACAAGTTTGTCGAGACAATTCTAGGAAAGTCGTTCAAACGATCCTGAGTGCTTTCGCGGTAAAAAAAACCCTGTTTCCTATCGTCGTGTCCTCCTTGCTAAGGCTCGTGAACCGGTCGACCTACGGACAACCACGACAGATATCTTTTTTCCAGCTTCATAAAGCCTCGGGATGCTCGTTGAATATAGCTGGACAGATCCAAAGCGTTACACGCACCAAGTCACTCTTCGTCCGTTTCGCGACGGTAAAATCTAGCCTCGACGAAAGGGTGAACGAACAACGAACGTCCGTTGCTCTTACCTCCGCGCAAGCATATATCTCGAACGCAACGTACAATTTTTATATTAATTTCACTTTGTAATAATAATAATAATAATAATAATAATAATAATAATAATAATAATAATAATATAATTATATAATTACAAATAATTATTCATAATATTTATTTGAATATTTCACTAGATTTGTAGAGTGTCCCTTTTTTTTGCCCGTGTTTAGGCTTGACGTTGTCAGAATGCGAAGGCGCTTCTTCCTTTTCCTTTTTTTTTTATTTTTTGCCATTTTATCACAGGAGTCGCTTTTCGACCGCGCTTCAGAGTTACTGGGTTGCTGGAACGACGCGGCAGAGAAACGGATCGAATAAGACACGTGGTCGATAATAATTTCCTCGAATGGGTGGAAAGAAAAACGTCGAAGAGAAAAATTTCCGCGAACGAACGGCCGCATCTTTTTATGGCTGCGCCACTCTTCGTATTTACATTTCAGCGTTAGAACATCAAATTGCTGGAACCACACTGATCAGCAAGAATTGTTCTCGAATAAAAATAAGGAGAATTCTCTCTCTCTCTCTCTCTCTCTCTCCCTCAGTAGTCAAGCCGAAAGTATATACTGGTTCTCTCTCTTTCTGTCTCTGTTTGGTTATCCCCCGTAATTTCTCTGGGTGGTGTCGACTAAATTCTTCCTCACTGCTCGGGGGTGTCCACTTCCGTTTGCGGGTTGGATCGATCGGGGTCTAACTTGAACTCCCATCGAAAGCCCACGAATCCTTCGATACGAACCGTTCGTGTTGCCGAGGAAAGTATGCGAGGCTCCATGACGAGTACTCGCTATCGCGACTCCATCGTCCCGATGATCCTTAAAGAAAACGGGGGCAAGTCCTGGGCACGCGAAATCGTCTCCGAAAGTTGGTTCCTCCGTAGGTCTGAGTTAGGTCAACGAACAAGTCCAATCCTTCCCGTCCTGGACCAAACATTCTTGCGATTGGTAACAATCGGTCGATCTCCGTGACGTCGCGAGCCAAGCTCAAAACCAAGGATCTGTGTGTCTTTATGTCTGTATGTCTGTCTGTCTGTTTGTCCGTCTGTCTGGCCAGCGTCCCATGGGATACGCGTCGTCTCTCTGTAAAGGTCCTTCCGAAGGACGGTTACACCCGGTAGGTAATGTGTCCTCTTTCGACCGGTTGTTACGGGGGGAACGCGAGAGCGAGCTATTCTTCTGGAAGCTCGCAGCGGCGGCGGCGGCGGCTCGTCGAGGACGCGATAACGGTCGAAAGGAATTATTTACATATCGCGGTACATTGTCCTGGGAATGCACACGGATCACAGCCACTCGGTCAGGCAACCACCGAACCACATAACCACTATGGGAACAAGGTACGTCGTCATTGCACGCGACAGCGACATCTTCGGTCGGCTCGCTCCGCTGACCGCCGTAGTCGTGCCGTTCCCGTGCCCGTCGCCGGTTCCCTCACCATTACCCCCGGTGCTCTTCGGTTCCACGTCCACCCTGGGCGGCACCAATTCCGGATTAACCGGCGGCGACGGTTGCTTCGGCTGGTCCGGCGGCGAGGACTTCGGCTCGTACCCCGAACCCTCCTTGAACCCGTCCTCGTCGTCGGTGATGGGGTTACTATTGTCCTGATCGGTTCCATCGCCGGAACCACTACCCGACCCGTTCCAATCCGTGTCCTCTGAAATCCGAAACATGGATGGTTTAAGTGTCGCGCACCGTATACATGTCCGTATGTATGTGTGTATGTGCTTTGTGTATAGGTAGTATATGTATACACAAGAGTAACAAAAAGACAAAGATCCGTGTAGCGCGTTTCATCTGAATTATGGTAGATCTGACCAGAGACGCCACTACAGCGTTTATATGCACAGGGTGTCCCACCTGACTTTCTCGATATTATTACTTGTAATGAAAAATATTTCAGATGAAAATTGAATGGTATCAAGGGGAGCAGCATACACTGGTGTTACTAGTTTTTTCGTGAGTGGACGTGTAAAGATCATATGAAGGTGACTTCGATTTTTTTTAAATGGAATCTTGCATTTTTGAATATACCAATCGATGCAACTCGATATTCGTTATTAGAATTATTTAAACTGAAATATCTTCTAAACTATTAACTTATCGACATAAATAGGTAATACATTATTTTTTTTTATAACGAATATCGAGTTACATCGATTGGTATATTCAAAAATACATAATTCCCTTTAAAAAAACGAAGTTGAAGATTTTAATTACAATGTTATTGTTATTGTTATTGTTATTATTGTTATTGTTATTGTTATTGTTATTGTTATTGTTATTGTTATTGTTATTGTTATTGTTATTGTTATTGTTATTGTTATTGTTATTGTTATTGTTATTGTTATTGTTATGATTATTATTATTATTATAATTAGTATTATTATTATTATTATCAGTTTTCTTTCCTCTTTCTTTTCGTGTACTTTTGTTTATAAATTTGTTGCATGTACGTTTATTTTTAAAAGACCGAACTGATATCTATAAAATGAAGAAATAACCGACGCAAAACCGAAATATAAGCGATATAAAAATGGACACTATTATAACCGTAACCGTAACCGGTAAAAAACCGATACGAGAATCGAAAAAATGATGGTTCTAGAACCGATATAAGAACAGTAACTGAAATAGATATGTATAGACGGGAAATTCGATTCTGTACAACTGTTATGGAAAACTAACGGTTCTTTGAAATCGTTTCAAGAACCGAATCGATATTTATAACAGTTTTCAACCCCTGCGTTTTTGCTTACGAACCCGTCCCTCCCACTCTCTTCCGTAATTAAACTTCCCGTTGGACCGTCATCCTTGACGGTTGCACACGTTTCGTCCCGTAACCGTTTTCGACCCTCGAAGGATAAACGTGAACCCAGTCGAATGTTACCTGTGTCTATCCAATCGACGTCCTGGCCGTTGAACGCGGACTTGAGTCTGTTCGTGATGGTGGACAACACGAAGATCTGATCTCGTACGATGGTCGGCCTCGGACCCGAGCTCCTCACCTCCGGATTAATGATCTGAGTCTCTCCGTTCGACGACACCGGGTATATGTACCTACGAGGGACAACGAACCAACCATAATCGAGGGGAGAACTGACAAAGAAGAAGAAGAAGAAGAAGAAGAAGAAGAAGAAGAAGAAGAAGGAGAAGAAGAAGAAGAAGAAGGAGAAGAAGAAGAAGAAGAAGGAGAAGAAGAAGAAGAAGAAGAAGAAGAAGGAGAAGAAGGAGAAGAAGAAGAAGAAGAAGAAGAAGAAGAAGAAGAAGAAGAAGAAGAAGAAGAAGAAGAAGAAGTAGAAGTAGAAGTAGAAGTAGAAGTAGAAGCAGAAGTAGAAGCAGAAGTAGAAGTAGAAGTAGAAACAGAAGCAGCATGACGAGCGCAGAACGGCGGCACACCAGGAGGAAGAGAATACGGTGGGGTGTACTTACTTGTCGACGTGCGTGCCGTTCCAGCACTCCTTTGTGTTGCTGAGCGGCACAACGAGTCCGTCGTTGCACAGTTTATAGGGCAGGTATACCCAAAACTGTCGAGAGTCCCGTACCCTCTGCCGTATCTCCTTTACGAGCTTGTCCAAACTGGCGGCGGTCGAGCTGACGCCGCCGACGCCGCCGACGCCGCCGACGCCGCCACCCCGATCCTCGGTCAACGTTTCCTGATCGAAGTTCAGCGACTCGAGCTCCAGTTCTCGGTTGTCCCTGCGTCTGCGTCTGCGTCTACCGAGCACCGGACGGCCGCAGCCGGTGAACACCCGCTGCGACACGTCCTGGCCGTTCTCCTGAAAGGTCATTATCGCCTCGGAGATTTTCAGGTTTATGGGTCGAACCAGCATCTCGATGTTGAATGGACCCAACAAGCGATCAGCCACCTTATCCACGGCCTCTGGAAATTTCCACGGCGAACGGAACACGTTCGATCGTTGTTAGGACTAGCGGTGGCGATACATTTGAATTGTACCGATAGGTATGTATCGATACTTGGAGTAGGTATCGATACATATGTATACATGTATCAGGAATAAAATATCGTTAATATCAGATATTTACAAAGGCAAATTCTCAGGTAACAGGGTGGAAAAGAAATCGATCAATCGCAAATTTTACGGGAAGCTCGTGATCGATTAATTTCCTTATGACTTGTTACGTTAACGGGAAATGCACACCGATTGTTTGGACATTTCAGTATTTATGGATAAAGTATTGATAATGGAATATATGGTCACATTAAATATCGACATGTATAATATCGCCCATCAGTATTTAGGAACTTAGGACCCGTAAATACACGCTGAGATAAAAGACTAAAGAAAAGTGCACAACGTAAGAACGTGATAAATAGGACAGACGATGCGTATATCGATGCTGGATGATGCTCGAATACGCTCGGCGACGCTCGACGACGCTCGATGACGCTCGACGACGGTCGACGATGCTCGACGACGCTCGACGACGTTGGTGCGACGCTTGGCGTCAAGATTTCGCGTCGAAAAGCGCGCGCGAGTCTATATGTATGTAGGTATAGTATAATTACACAGTCGTACACAATGGACGAGAAATTACTCACCGACGAAGTGATTCCATTCAGCGTCCAGTGCCGCATGCTGGGCCAAGCAACCCTTCATCGCGTTGGCACACATGTCGCCGCACGCCAGCACGTTCCCGGTTATCCCGCTGCACGACGGACAGACTGTCATTCTGGTTAGTGCAGCTGCACAGTCCGCGGACGGCTTCAACTGCGAACATAAAACGATTTTCCAGATGACCCCTTGTGACGCATGTCCTCCACTTTTCGCCGCTCGCGTTTCCCCGTATACAGTAAGACCCCGTTGTTTAATGCTACCCCGATTAACGTTGATTCGATATAACGTGGTTTTTTCAGAACACTAAGAAACCGCTATACAGAGTGTCCCATTTAAATCGACCCACTCGAATATCTGCGAAACCCGTGACGATATTAAAAAATGTTTCAAGCAAAAGTTAAATGGCATCAGGGAGCACACTTTCTGATGTGAGTAACTTTTTTCTATGTGGGCGTATACAGACCATATGAAGGTCAACTTTGTTTTTTTACATGGCATCGTGTATTTTTTAATGCACTACTTGATACTACTCGTTATTCCCTAAATAAAATGCTAAAGCGTGTCCCCTGATATCATTTAACTTTTGTTTAAAACATTATTTAATATCGTCACTGGTTTCGCAGATATTCGAGTGGGTCGATTTAAATGGGACACCCTGTATATGTATATGTATTTTGCAAGTTAATATAAAAATAACTTAAAATTTTAAGTAAAACCTGTTTACTCTTGGTCGCGTGTTCCTCGGATCCCTATTCACTATGCATTAAAGTGGCCCCGTTTAACGTTGTTTCGTTTAGCGCTTTTTTTGTTATTTTTTTTTCTTGGAACGCATCCTGAGCGTTATGCGGGGTCTTCTGTAGGCTGTGTGTACGGGATATTCTAGTCGTCCCGTTCCTTTCGCGAAACGACAAGAAGAAACCTCTCTCTTCTCTCTCTCTCTCTCTCTCTTTCTCTCTCTCTCTCTCTCTCTCTCTATCTCACCGATTGCATATTCTTCAGGATATCCGCGGCAACGGTCAAAGCTTGACTGAACGCCCTGGTCGCGACGAACGATCGCTTGATCTGGACGCCCAGCTTTTGAGGAACGTCACCGAACGGCCTCATGTCCTTCATATGCTCGCCGACGCACTCCAGATATTTGTTGTTGAAATTGTACTGGCTGTTCAGAACCGTGAACATTTTCTGATAGAGCGTGTTGAAAAAATTGTCCATTGCGTCGTCCAAATCGACCTAGAAAGCACAATCGTGATGATTCGTTCGATCATCGATCAACTAAAAAACGTGTAAACACGTTAAAATAACCAGCCCTCCCTCCCCCCGTCTAAGATTGAATTTCCCGGCAAACTGTCGAGACGACGACGCGACGTCCGAAACGGACAGGCGTCTCGGTTCGGCGAACTCCGCGGTGGTGGTGGCGACGGTTCGATCGAAACGCGAAAACAAAGAACGAGAGGATCTCGTCGAAATGATCGAGCCATCCGGATTACCACCCACTCACACAGATTTCCCCTACAATATCCACCCTGGCCAATGTTCGAGCTCACCCATTCAAGGAATAATCCTGCGATTCGCCGGACGTATTATCGAGTCGGCGCACGGCTGCGAAGCGGAAATGATATAAAGAATAAAAAAAATTGAAAAGAAAATTCGTGGAAACGAATCGTCGAATAAATCCGAATTCTCCTATCCCGCGCAACTAGCGAGTTTAGCGAGACGGCGATATATCGCCGATATAACATTGGTGACCAACCGAGAGACTCGTCGCGAACGCAACAATATGTGTATGTATGTACATATACGTATGAATGTATGTATGTATATGTGTACGCCTAATATATTCATGCGGGGGCTATTTTCGAACATGTATTAGCGGTCCCCGTTGAATAATTCAAACAGATTTGAAATATCTGCTGGTAGGACTAAGACTATGTGGTTTCTCGCTTTCACGATTACTATTCGTTTTTCGATACAACTAGGTATGTTCCGAATAATTCTGTTAGGATATTACTACCTAAGAGGATATTTCCGGGCCCCCTATTATTGTGGTACATTCCCCGGGACGTCAAACGCATCGATTAAACTCGCATTCGCGCCTGAAACCACCACCAACTACCAACCACCACCCCTATCGCAGAGTCTCGTTACTCGCAGCTCAACTCTGACTGGACGAGGGTCGTTCATTTCGAAAGTTCACCCTACGAGGCCGCGGATAAAGGGGAAAGAGGCACGCGAGCACAGAACGGACGTAGGAGAATGTGCCAGGAATTCTTTCATCTTTGAAAATCGAGTTTGAACGGGGATATCGATCTATTTAAACCCCGATGGTATCCGATCAATCGTTTCCGCCGACAACATTGGGACCGTGGGTCGTGAAAGAATTTATCGATCCTCTTAAATCGAACGTCGCTTTTTCGGACCTTTAGATTATTATCGATAACGAATGCCGGGAGTATAAACAGAAACGAAAAGATGGGAAAAATTATGTATGTATTGCGACTAGGTATGTTTTTTCTCGGTAATACAATAATAACGGTTGGTACACCGTCGCGTCAAAAGGGAAATAAATGGAAACTCACCGTCCCTTTGGCGTAATAATTCTCCAGTTCCTTAAATAAATCCGTGAAAACGTACGCGTTCTGTTCGTAGAGCATACCATAAGTTTTCTTGAACATCTCGTGGAAGCTTCTCTTGCTATCCGCCATCAGATCCTTGAAGAAGCCTGGACAAAATGAACAGAATTCTTGTCGTTGAACGGCGTACATATTACTATTATTATTATTATATTCTCGGCTGTCGAAACCCCCATTGCAGACTCGTGCCACCCTACACACGCGATAACTTCGTGGGCATCGGAGGAACTCAGGTCCTCTTCTTGTCGGCGCTTTAGCTGCGAAGAATGCGATTAAAATTCCTTTTAACAACGGAACAGAGGGAGAGAGGGAACAGCGCGAGCCTCTGTGTGACGATTCGTTGACGTACCCGCGACAAAAAGCTGCCAGACCACGAAACGACGCGACACAACGCAACTCACCACTCCCTGCGAACGGGGAACCGAAGCAGCAAGCAATCAAGCAAGGAAGAAAGAAAGAAAGGAAGGAAGGAAGCACTTTTAACCTCCGGTAACCAACGCGTCGAACTTTCTGGGGTATGTTAATTTGCATCTAGTTTTCTCTCGTTCATCGACGAAAAAAATCGTACGGCAAGCAGGTAGCTGCTCATCTGGCCCGATTCGAAATTGCTCGCGTTCAAACTTCGGTCTACTCGAACGGTCTCTCTCTCTCTCTCTCTCTCTCTCTCTCTCTCTCTCTCTGATGTCTCTCCTGCTTTCACTTTTCCGCACTCTCTCTTTAGCCACCAACTCGGCTCTCCTCCACTTGGCTCCTTCACCACTTATACATATACTCTTTTTCCCTTTCAGCCCGTTCTTCACACTGTCTCCTTCCTGTCTGTCTCTCTCTCTCTCTTTCTGCCCCTTTCTTCGTCCACTTTCTGCCCTGATTTTCCGTCTCTCTCGTAGCTGGTTGTCGCCAGCCGACGTAGCCGCCCGCAATCGTATCGCGGCAAGAGTGTTGAGCAAAGTGGGTAGTGAAGGTAGGTAGGTAGGTAGGTAGGTAGGTAGGTAGGTAGGTAGGTAGGTAGGTAGGTAGGTAGGTAGGTAGGTAGGTAGGTAGGTAGCTGGATGCGGCGGTAGCGGTTAGGTAGAGGACGGCTCAAAGGGAAACGGTGTCGACCGTCGAGAGAAGCCGTGGTGCTCGAAAAAGATCGAGGCTCAAACGAGGGGTAGTGCAGTGCGTCACCGCCGCGCCAGGGTAACTCGTGCACTGCCGAGTAATTTCGTTAATGAGAATCGTTAGGGCCCCCCCGGCCCCCGAGGTTTTCACTGTCGCGCCGTCTAATTTTCCCGGTGACCGCCAAAGCGACTGCTGCTGCTGCTGCTGCTGCTGCTGCTGCTGCAGTTCTCGATGCAATCTAACCGTTTCGTTTGTTGACCCTTTGGAACGAAGCGATCGTTGCGTCGCCGTCATGTCAACCGTTTCGCCGATCGATGAAGTCCTTGTACATACTTGCGAAACAACAACTCGTTGCGTGGTCTCGAAGCCAAAAAGACGCATATACAATATATGTATACGGATCGCTATGCAACTTTCCACGATAGCACAGAATGCCGTCGACATCAGAGATGGAAGTATGGAGGTATCGAACGAGATCTCTTGAGTAACAGTGATTACCGCCTCGTCTACGTATTGGGTGACCGGAGGAATTTTTTTTATTCTTATGCTTTCGTTGAAGGTTTCCAGTTTAGAAGATTTAGCTCTCAATGTTTGTACATTAACACTTGAGGACAGCTTTCGTTTTCCATTAACCGCAGCAGCATATTACTGTGTGTATGCATATGTGTAGTATACATACATACATAGTATATTCTTATTTTCTATTCTTCCTTCTTTCTTCTTCTTTTTAGTTGTAATCTTAACTATGATTAACGTTAATTTTATAATACTATGTTCTTTCTGTTATTTGAATGTATATTGGGGGAATTTACGGCCGTTACAATAAATTGTTCTATGAAATTTCTGTTTAATAAGTAATCGGTGTCTAATCGAGGGTCGTATTACTCATATGTTGAACTAAGCCAAGATTTTTGGGGCTATGTACAATTCGTTTATATTAGGGATTCTAATTCAAATCATTCAGGTCAACCGATTTACCGGTATATCGCGAAAAATATCTTCAATTTTTTACCAGTAATTTGCCACTTTTTTTTACCGGTAATTCGATAAATTATATGTATACTCATAGCAATATGGTGCGTACCTGTATGCGTTTTATACATATGTAGTTACTTGCGCCGCGCAAGTGATTTTAAGTGATTCTGATTTCGAAAATTCTGTAAGCTTAATGTCAAGAACTTTTTCTTTCAACTTTTGAAAGAAAAAACTTTAATTCGTAATATAAAGAAAAACAGAAGTATCTCATGAAGAACCAACTCTGATCCAAAAAAACCAACTAAAAATCTGAATCAAGTCATGAAAAAAAATAAAATTTAACGTATCTTCGAGAAGAAAAAGTAACGGAAAAAAATACAAATTGCATATGATTTTCTAATGGATACCCGACCAACAAGTGTAGAATCTGAAAGAGCTTTTTACGCGGCTGGATTATTTTGTAGAAAAATTAGGTTGCACTCAGGAGACCAAAGTTTAGACTACTTTAGAGAATTATATTTATTAAAAAGGGTGAATGATTAAAAAATGCATTTAATATTGCATGTAACTTAAGATTATTTTCATTGTTTTCGTGGTGAAAATCCATATGTAACAAGTACGTATTGTCAATAGTTTACTAATACATATGTATTTGTATATATGATATATTACCGGTAAACCGGTTTTGATTGGAAATTTCACCGAATTACCTGTAATTGAAAAAGTCGGTAACTTCGCAATTCCTAGTGTGTATCATTTACAGCTCCTGCCCTTCACTTTTCTATTGCGGCGAGACCCGAGATTTGACACTCTGAATGATTTGAGGTTCGATCGGTCGTCATTCGAAAATTACGAAAGCCGCCACCGTGTCCTTTAGACACGCCGACTCAACCAGCGGAAGAAACCAGCCCCCGCTCGACTGGATTCGCGGTGGTTTCATCTCGTGTCCGCGAGCACGCCTCGAGGTAGAATTTCACGCAGAATTGCCCTTGAAAGTGATTAAAATTGCGAAAGTGTAAGAGGCAGATACTCACTGTGAAACCTTGCCCCTCTCGTCGACAGGACCTGATGCAGTCGCTGAAGAGTTTCTTTGGTGGCTGTCTCGTGTTTGTCGCGTGCCCTCGCCTGTAATCTCACTTCCATGTCCGCGGAGCAACAGACCTCTCCGCCATTTCGCACGCTGCCGCATATTTTCAGTTCCTTTGCTAGAAAAACGAACGAAAAAACGGGATTAAACCGAGCTCGATGCGCACGCCCTCGTTCTCCCCCCTTAACCCAATCTTTAGAATCTAACCTTCTTTTCAGATAATTTCTGGATTTATAGATTCTAAAGATTGATTTTTCGAAAGTGTAGATCATTCTCCAACGAGTTCTCTTAATCAAGGATATGTTTCTTCGTTCAACGGTTCGATAAACTCGTTGTTCGAAACTTGGTAACATTGCCGGCAGGAAAATTTTAATGGGATGTTCCGAACGTCTGCTTCCTCAAAGAAAACAGTGGGGTAGGTAACGTTTATTTGTTCTAGAACGAATTTTGATTATGCGAGAACTCCCGAGCGGGGCGCAGCTTCCGTTAATTTACGATAGATCCGACTAATTCTTCGTTCCTTCCTTCCTTCCTTCCTTCCTTCCTTTCTACCCCTTCTGTTCTCATTTTCTCCGAGGGTGCCAGAGAGCCAGAAAACTGGTTTCTCGGGAGGTTCGTGGGTGGCGATGATGAGGAAAAAATTGCTTGTCGCGTGGCGCGACCATCGAACAACCGTTTCCTCGTAATCGTTGCTTTCGACCAAATTCAATCCAATTTTCTCCACTCAGAGACCACGGTATCCCTCCAGGTTACATATTATATGTATACACCTTGCGATTCAACGAATTTGACACGTCGATTTTGTTTTCTCCTGTGTGCGTCGAGTAACGTTGTCGAATGGCTTGCACTGTACGTTTCTTCATACTGAAAGGATCGATTGGAAAAACTTTGGTCGAACAAGTGAACGAACAATTGGCGAAGTTTAACCCTCTACATTCTCTAACGCAGCGTATAATCGAGCTTCTACTCCTACTGTGTATGTATAGTTTTTTGCATCAAGGATTGTTCGTATTACGAAGCTCGTGCAGATAGCAGCAGCTACCCTTATTTCGCCGCTGGTCGGTACTCAGAGCCACGTCGTTTATCTGCCAATATGTACGTCCTCCGTCTATCGTCCGAGCGAGCTAATTTCCCACACAGCTCGGAACTTGGCGTCAAACTCTCTCTCGTACATATACACGTGTATCTATGTATACGGCTGCTGCTGGCTCGAATCACCCAGCCTCCCCTTTCGTTTCCGCGCAACCCCCATCGCGCGCGGTTCGATCGTCGTCAACTTTCAAACGCGCCGTAAAAGTAATACCGATACATTTCAGCGGGATTGAACGTGTCGTCTCGCCCTGGGCTTTCCCCTTTTCCCGCCGCGCTGCCACGTTCCTCCAATCCCCTGCCGTCAGATCGATGCGAACAGTTAACGAGAAAAAAGTAATTCGTTACGAGCCGCGTTAACGCGGATACCAGCGAGCAATGGCCTTGTAAATACCCTACGGATCGAAAAGACGACCAAATGCCATCCTTCGGGCAGTAAGTTCAAGTATAGTATACATATACTATCGGTAGGGCGTGCTTTCTCTCGTCAAGCTTCGATCACCCCATGTTCTAAACGCGTCGCGTGCATCCAGTTTAAAATTAGTCACCGGATACTCAAATCCCTCGTATATTTGTCGAACGTGTCACGACGACACAACTTACACGCCGCGATCTTATGTACATATCCATGGTGGCCAGACTGTGGCTCGCGAGCCGCACACGGCTTCTTTAGGCAATATTTTTGTGCAATATTTTTTTTTATAAACTTGACACATACTACATACATGTATGTAATGTGATATTTTTATAAGTTTGCTGACTTTATTATGCAGTGTGATGTATAACAAAGATTGTAAGCGTTTAACTTACAATTTAATATCGTTCCAATAGAGGATTTCAAGTATTTCTGATAGACGATACGTGGATTCGATCCTGACAAGGTTCGGCCACCACTGTTATAATTTATAATATATTATAATGTACACTATCGGCCAAAAATATGGGACTAGGTCCGATGATTAAAGAAAGAGAAAACTATTATTCGTATATAGAATCATGAACTCTGGTCCCATACTTCTGCCCGATGGTGTATGTATAATACATATAGGAGCCGAGCAAGGAACACCGAAAGTGACAGTGAGTTCTAAACTGGAAGAGGACCGATCGTTTCGACGCGCGACGATTATCCGCGTGCATAATCGAATAAAAGAGTCTTCCGATAAATTGCTCCGAAGGCCGCGGGTGTAAAAAGCCAGACTAGAGCGAGAGAAAGAGAGAGATATGCATCGTGGAAGCTCGAGCCGAGAGAGCTCGGCCGTTTGACGAACAGCCATTGAAAGCCCCTCGTAGCCCAGGCACCCCGACCACACGACCCTCGGCGAGGCTTTGCAACGCGCAAAGGCTGAGTACACGTGTATGTATATTCGCGCAACCAAGCAGCCAGACAGAAACGCACACGCATACGCACACGCAAGTTCACGCGAGAGGGTAGACGGAGTTACGCGTTGCGCCGTTTGTTAGCGTCTTGACGTCGCTAAGACGCCGGGATTTCTGTCGCGACATACTTCCTTCCGTGTCGAGCTATATTCGCCAACGACACACACTCTCTCCCCATCCGACCGCGACAGAATATCGTGTTCTTTTTCCCTCGCAAAACGATGAAAAACGCGAACGTCGTTGCCCCTCTTCACCCCCACAACGAATTGTATCGGCATCGATGATCCCAATAACGAATTGTTCGAGTCTTTTGTCGACCATTCTCACTGAGAATAATTTAGCTACACAGCGGGAAATAAGTTTGTGTGACGAAAAAAGGGTGGATGTCAGTTGGATGGAAAAAATCGAGTGACACATTTAGCGAATGCAGAAGCGCCGTCCTCGCTCTCGAGCCCTAGCTGGAAACTCTGGTGAAACGAGGCGGAAGTAATTATTTCGAATGCGCGTGAACGAGTCGATTTCAGGCTGCACGGTGTTCGCGCTGTGCGACGAATTCGCGCCGTTCTGAACTGTCAGCCACCAACGATTTCAGCGAATAACAAACGAAACGACTGTGAAAATATGGTGTAGAAAAGGTGTGCTGCTGTTGTGCTTACCGATGAAAACGGATTGTATTCCTTATGTGTCCACTCTTCCATAATATCCAGAGTGTCGTGTCTGAAATAGGAATTGGGGTTGTTCGATTCCGAGTCGATTCTTCAGAAGGTAGATTATCTTTGATATCACATCACTGCCGTGTATAACACATACATTAACGGTCAAAAGTATGAGAGCAGGTTTGATAATTATAGAAAGAAGTAGAAAGAGTGGAAGAAGAAAAGGTAACGTGTTAAAACTGATGAGAAGTATGGACGTATACATACATATACATATGTACCGATTCCGTAACTTTTATTTTAGCCCAAAGGAATACAATAAATCATCGACGAGTGAGTGTTCCAAAACTCCTCGGCATCTCAGTGTTCAGACGCCATCCCCACCACTAGGTGATGGCACCCCAATCCCGTGGGACCAGTCAAACGTCCAGTGATGGGGATGGCGTCTGAACACTCATCGATGATTCACTGCGCATGAGTTCATATCAGTTCACTGTACTGTTCCATCAATCGGGAACTCTTGTTCCACACTATTGGCTGGTAGTGTATCTGTTGTATTATACATACGTACATATATGGCAGTGACGTGTGTTCCCAAGATAATCGATCCTTGATTCCCTAATAGGAACTACACAGGATCGGTCCAGCGATCGATTCGTTCGATGTATCATACCTACATAAGTTCACGCGTGGACGTTGTTCATCGCACGAGCTTAGGTAACGGTCGATTAATTCTGAATGTAATTCTGCCGTAAATGCTCCTGGGTCCGGTTTTTTTTTTAGACGAAAGGTCAGTTTCTACTGACGCAGTATTATCGATTCCGTCTTGTAACCAATGCCGTGTCTACGGTCCCCTCGTAAAACTGACGGAAAATACGACCTCGAATCACGACGTACCTATCCAGTTTTCGTTCACACCACCGGTTTCCCGAGTGAATTTCCACGCGGACGTCCCCCGTATGCCATGCAACGTGTGGCCGATCGAAAGGAGGAACAGATCTCTCTTGTTCGACGCCGAAGCACCCTTTGGGATACACGAAGAAGGGTTACGATTCGATTAGAAATCACCCCTCGTTGGAGAGGTTTCACCGGTGACAGGCAGATGCGGAAATTTTCTGGGGGTGAAGGGGAAACGGGAATTGGAAGATAGACGGAGGATGCGTCGTCTATAGTTAGACGAACCGCGAGCACGGGAACGAAAATATACGATCCGACTAAGCCGAAGAACGTAGGTAAACGGCTTAAATTAACCGAGCATGATGTTTCGGAAACAAATGGCATCTGCTCTGTCTATCGAGACCAGACGCGTTTGTTACGTCTAGGAAAAGGTCGGTCGTTGTACACCAACGCCAATAATATTTAAACCTTTTGCTTATAGTATTAGTATTAGTCATCCGTGTATTCCATTGAATGCCTCATCCCTTACTGATCGCTCGACTCAACATATCCCCCACCTTCCAAATAACCATATAGAACCGACTGTAGAAATATTTATGGTACTGGAAAATTTAGTACCTTTTTTCTGCATAAGCTAGTACGAAATACTTTTGCTGGGTGGTCACACACACAGAGAGAGAGAGAGAGAGAGAGAGAGAGAAAGAGAGAGAGACAGAGTGACGGGAGACGAGTGCGGATGAGATGCAGAGACGCGGTTCAACCACCCCCATAGGCAAAACTATTTCTGCGGACTATTCTTCCGGGCTTTCCATTATGTTGAATGATACTCCGCGTCTGTGTGTGTATGCGTGTGTCTGTTCCTATACTTATATTCTATTCCACACACGTGAACTCGAGTAGACTGGAACGCGACGGCGACGTGATGTACGCGTGCTTTTCAGGCATCGACTATTATGGGATCCTGCCGCGAATCTCCATTAAATATTTACGAGCAAGCCGAATCGCCTTCCCTCATCCCCGAACGGGGGGTTCGTGAACACGACGGGCTTCGTCTCGCTAACGTTTGCTGGCGATCAATTCTTCCGAGACGATGGGAACT